CCACAGCAGAATTTAAACCAGAATTATTTTGGGTAAATGTTTCAGTTAGAAATAAATTAGTTAAATCATGTATGTTTTGATTTTCAAGTGCCTTTTGGTACGCCCCCATGCTGTCTGGGGTTCATCTGTATGAGTATGAGCTGTTAAACAGTTCACAGGCACTTGGGGCTCCAGACTTAGACTGAGCCCTTTTCAGATAAATAGCGATTTTGCTGTGGTCTGATAGGGGTGTAAGGGGGCTAACTGTGAAAGCTCTGAGAGACACTGGATCTAGATCTGTAATGAAATAATCTACCATACTACTGCCAAGAGCTGAGCTGTAAGTGTAGTGACCCAGAGAGTCCCCTCATAGCCTGCTGTTGACTATGTACAGGCCCAGCGTACGGGTAGAGCTGTAAAAGCTGCATACCGCTTGTATTAGTAAGCTTGTCAAAGCTCTTTCTAGCAGGACATTCAGGGAGGGGGAAGCAGGTGCTTCCAGGTAAGTGTTTGTCTCCCTGGGTGTTCATAGCGTCAGCTCTTTCCCCTGTTTGAGCGTTTAAGTCCCCACAGATTAATACGTTTCCCATGGTTTTATAATGGTTAACTCCTCCTCAAGAACAGAGAAAATATCTGGGTTGCAGTAGGGAGATTCTGATGGAGGTATATAGATGGCACAAATGTAGACATGTTGCTGAGCACAAATCATCTGTTTGTTAATTTTCAACCCTATATAATATTCTTCTTTTTTAATAACTGTGATGGAGTGGCTCAGTTCTGATTTACACCATATAATCGTGTCTCCTGAATCTCTGCCTTGGGTTATTGTGGGATTTTTTGTTGATGGTATAATAATCTCAGTGTAGCTGTGAGGACGACCAGTGGAAACATCTTCTCTGCACCATGTCTCCTATGATGTCAGAGTCTTTTAACTCTCTATTAAAATCTGAATTTCTGCTCTTTAAACCAAAAGCTGATGATCTCAGACCTTGAATGTTTCAACATGTTATTGTAAACGATTTCATCTCCAAGCGTAATCCGTTCAAAAATTAGACAAACACCTTAAAAAACTAATAATAATAATAATAATCTAGATATTAAAAAATAATGAAAAGAAACAAATGAAAAGTTGAAAAAAAGTGTAAAAAGTGTAATTATTATTTATAATAATAATCTTTATTTTTAGAGCACTTTTCAAAAACAAGTTACAAAGTGCTTTAACAAGTGTAAAGACAATAATAACCAAAAGACAATAATACAAACACAATACAAGATAAAAGCATGAAAACATTGAAAAGACTAAAATACATGTTTAAGATAAATATAAAATTAGTAAAATAAAAGGGATAAAATAAAGTCAAATAAGATCAGGAAAGGCTCTCATATAAAAGTATGTTTTAAGAAGGAACTTAACTGCTGACCTGATTTCCTCGGGCAGGCTGTTCCAGAGCCTCGGGGCCCTGACAGCAAACGCTTTGTCCCCTTTAGTTTTCAGTTGAGACTCTGGAACAGACAACAGACCTCTGCCCGAGGATCTCAAGGTACGTGCTGGTGTGTATGGGACTAAAAGTTCAGAAATATAACAAGGCGAGAGGCCATGAAGAGCTTTAAAAGTGATCAATAGAATTTTAAAGTAAATTCTGAAACATACTGGGAGCCAGTGTAATGAAGCTAAAATAGGAGTAATGTGGTCTTATTTCTTTGTTCTGGTTAAAAGCCTGGCAGCTAAGTTCTGGACAGTCTGGAGTCGATCAATAGATTTTTGGGTTAAACAGGTGAAAAGGCTGTTGCAATAATCCAGGCGTGATGAGATGAAGGCGTGTAAAATGGTCTCTGTGTCCTTAAAAGTTACCATAGATAGAATTTTTGCTATATTTCTAAGTTGATAAAACATGATTGAACAAGCTTTGTGGTGTGCTGCTCGAAATTTAAATTACTATCAAACCAAACACCAAGGTTCTTTGCCACAGGCTTAATGTGATTTACTTTGCCATCTGCTGGGACCCAACGACCAGGATTTCTGTTTTGTCTGAGTTCAGCTGGAGGAAATTATTTGACATCCATTTTTTAACTTCACAAAGGCAGTTGTTAAGTGAACTCAGCATTCCAGGGTCTGTGGATCTGACGGGCAAGTATATTTGTGTCTCATCAGCATAAATATGAAAAGAAATGCCATGGATAATATGTCCAAGGGGAAGCAGATACAAGGAAAACAAAATGGGTCCTAAGACCGACTCCTGAGGCACACCATATTTAACTGGACAGAATGAAGAGACATAGTTGTTTACAGACACGCAAAATTTCCTATTTGACAGGTAGGATGAAAACCATTCTAGGGCAGTACCAGAGATCCCCACCCAGTGCCTCAGTCTGTCTAACATGATGTTGTGATCAATGGTGTCAAAAGCAGCGCTAAGGTCCAGTAGTACCAGGACTGAGCACATACCTTCATCAGCAGACATTAAAAGGTCATTGGTGACTTTAAGCAGGGCAGTCTCAGTGCTGTGGTACTTCCTGAAACCAGATTGAAACTTTTGAAATATTTTGTTATTTTCCAGTACAGTGAGCAGCTGTTTGGACACAATTCTTTCTAGAATCTTTGCAATAAAAGGCAGTTTTGAAATTGGTCTAAAATTATGTGGGAGGGAGGGATCTAAACCAGGTTTCTTTAAAAGTGGGTTCACGCAAGCCGTTTTAAAATAATCAGGGACACAACCAGTAGATAGGGAGCTGTTAAAAACAGATCAAATAGAACAGAATCCATTACTTTCAGTAAAAACTTTGTAAGCATTACATCAAGTGGGCTGGAGGACACTCATTTGTGATACTGTTTTTAAAAGCTCAGACAAGTCGATGGGATAAAACTGGTTAAAACTTTTTTGTTGCTGGTGAGGAACCTCTGAGTAAGAGGCCGTGGGGGTAATAGAGGCTCTGATTGACACCACCTTATTGGTAAAATAAGATAAAATCAATTCACAGTCATCATTACTTCCAGCTGAGGCACAAGGAGGGGTTGGGTTTACCAGCTGATCCACAGTCTTAAACAGAAACCTGGGGTTGTGTTTATGTGTAGTAATGAGTTCAGAAAAATAGTGTGTTCTCGCATCCTTAACCATGTTATTGTAGTTAATTTATAAATCCTTCAGACTGAGGTAATGGACTTGGAGACTGGATTTTTTCCATCTGCGCTCTGCTTTCCTGCATTCCCTTTTTAGGCTGAATGCTGTCATTTATCCAGGGTTGCTTACTAGCTTTAGATGTAGGCCTAACCTTTAGAGGAGCTGTAATATTTAGTGACGACAAGCAGATATGATTGAAGTGATCGACCAGATTGTTGGTGTTGGAATCAGACAGATGTTGGCTTTGGCTCTGAAAGAATGCGCAAAACTTTTAAACACTTTATTCATTAAAGATGCGAGAACACATGGAGCTTGGAGCAATCATATTAAGGCAGACACAGTTCAGCTATCTGGCTATAATCATTCATTTGCAACCATGATTCAGTTAAAAACACAAAATCTACATTTGCAGACAAGATAAAATCATTTAAGATAAAAGTCTTGTTTGTTCTAGGTGCTGGAGTTGGTGCAGTTGTCCTAATCCTTAAGAGATTACTATTATTTCTGAGTGGGATGTGCACATTTCGGTTTACTGGTCTATGCGTTATGATGACAGGAATATAAGTCTTTGGAACAGTGCAGGGAGCAGACGGCTTTACATGCCAGCAGGTGGAGACAGTTGTTTGTGGCAGTGAGGCAGAGATCTGTTCAGTGAGCGTTGGTGCGTCCAGGTGTGCTGCATGAATGATTAGTCATTCACGTAAGTCATGTGTGGACCGCACCACATGCTGTATGTGAGCAGCTAACATTTCTGAGCTCCGTTTGTTTGGGTGAAGTCAGTCTGTCTTAAAGAGACATTCTTTGCCAGAAAATATTAAAATTATCCACATAACACACATGGTGAGCCCTGCAGGCGGACTGGAGCCAGTCGTGGAGGCCAAGGAGTCTACTGAAGCGGCCAGCACCGCAACCAACTGTGGGAATGGGACCAGAGATAAAAACGGACTTTCCACACTGCTTTAAAAAGTTAAAAAGACGGTTAAAATCTGATTTTGTCAGCTCAGACTGCTAAAGAGCTGTGTCATTTGTTCCGACATGGACTATCACTCTTGTGATGGAGGACGGGAGCGATGACATTAGGTCATTATGGAGTTTTTTTAAAATGTCAGCCGTGGTGCTTCCGGAGCGTCTGAGCACAGCCTCCTTCAGGATCCTACGTCGGGAAGCAGAGGTTTTTGACCGTCATTAAACACGGCTTCAGTTCAGCTGTATATGTTCCCCTTACCAGCTTAGCAAGTGGAGTGGAGCAAAAGTTTCAGAGTAGTGAGTTATTAATCCGTAACAGATGTATCTTTCATCCATAAAGTTATAACTGTGCACTGTCTCTACATCACAGTAACAACTTTATATCCATTGACTGCCTGGAGGGTAGCTAATGTTTGGAAGGGATGTGTATGTTTTGGTCATTATTGTTCTATATTCACAAAGACCATGATATAGATTTGAAATATTTTATTGTATGCTATCAATGGTGGAGAGCTGAGATGATGTAGGAGGAATGGATTAAGTGTCGAGATGGAGGGATGAAAGGATGAAGGGATGGGGATGAGGGTTGAGGGATGTAGAGATGAGGAAGAAGAGTGAGAGATGAAGTGGTGAGGGATGAAGGGATGAGGGTAGAGAAATGAAGAGATAAGTGAATGAAGGGTGAGGGATTAAGGGTTGAGGGGAAAAATCAGGGTCATAGATCGATGGAATAAAGAGAACAATGGAGTGGTGGCAGGAAGTCAGGAGTGAACCAGGATGCGGGAGCCGTCTTTGTGTGCTCTGCGTTGGATAGAGTCCCAAAATAAACTTCAAATGGAAGGACATCCATGGGCGTTTCTTATATTGTTTGGATACTTGCGGGGGTAGTTAAAGTATGCTGGGGAAGACCCATCTCTGAACAGAGGGTCTTAGCGGGTAACTGGCTGATCTTGAGTTTATATTGTAGACATCAGTCTTGTCAAAAACGGTAGATGGGTCGAGGTAGATCAGACAGTTGGTCTGCATTTGAGGTAGTAGATTAGAGTGTCAGAAGAATAGAGCGGTGAACTCTTAGCAGCACATGACAGAGTTTGAGTTCTGTGACCTGGGATGTGGGAGGCTTAGATTAGTAACTGGTGCTGGGCCGAAACTAGGTTGAGGAACACTGGGATGCTGGGAACCCGAAGTGCTCACGGAGCTCGGAGACGGAGAGTGGTGTTTTGCTGCTAGTGTGTGAACAGTCAAAAAAGTTCTGCTTTATTGTCAGAAAGGGCTGTTCTGTTGACTGAGTGTGCTGTCGACGGTCCACTCTGATGTTTGATGCTGGGGATGGTCGGAATATTGGCAGGGTGTATTTGGATCTTGGTGGCTTTGCCTGTCATTCAACATCCGTAACTTAAGTGGGTCGGAGAGGAGCGTCTGGAAGGGGCAATGACCCTCGAACGCAGAAAATGGGAGAAGAGAATTCTGAGGTAGGTGCAAAGCATACTTGAAAACAATAAGAATGTTTGTGGTCCTTAAAACCTGCTTTCACAGGGTGGTATAATGTGAAAATTTTAGATTTTTTTTGCTGATGGACGATGGCATCATCTATCGGCCCGACCCTATATTTCACCAAACATATATTTACATAAACATGGAGACACACACAAACATGCAGGCATACTGTCCATACATCACACACATTTAACACTTAATTGCACACACTAAACCAAAGGAGATTCAGTCCAACTATTCATGAATTCAGATGACTGGCAAGATGTACAGTGTCATGGGTGGAAAGAAAGTTCTATGTATAAAGTAACAGATACATATGTGGGAGGATGACAACCAAGATAGAAAAGGAGGATGATTGCAGTGTAAGCAGTGATCCACAAAAAGGTGAAAAGAAAGAAAAAGAAAGAAAATAAGGAGGACTAAACCGTATGAAAAATTCAGCAAAATCTATTTTTAAAATATGCTACAATGTGGAAAAAGAGGATATGCTGATAGACATGAAAGGCGGCAACTATTGTATGGACGTGTTTAAAATTGCATGACGGGGCTGAAGAGGATTTCAAAAGAATTCAAATGCAGGGTTCAGCCAGAGTTTAAATTAGAATACTGCGACACTGCTCATCTCACTTTTTCTCTGCTCAGTAGAAGCTATGGTGAAATGCAAGGAAACTAGACACTGTTTATTTATCCCCTACGATTAAAGAGATTATATATATATATATATATATCTGAAATACTTTTTTCAGATAGTGGTCCTGTCTTGTTTTTATAACCTCATTATCTAATTATTAATTTGTATACCATTATTGTATTACCATTAATCGTAACCAGCAGGGTAGAAAAAGACCGTTAAGTGTAATGTTAGTACAACACAGACATTCAAGGATTATGTTGTCGATGACAGAAGGAAGAAAAGAATAGTGATGTCCAGGGTCTGCAGCTCAAAAAATCAGTGACACGACCAACACAACATCCAACTTCATCCGTCACTACAGAACCCATAAAGAAAGGTACGTTACGTGACTGTGGCTTTTTAACTAACTCAGACTGGTCAAACGAACAGAAAACTAGCATTAAGTTTAAGCTACACCCAGTTGTTTGGCTGCAGTTTGTAACTTTATGTGAAAATCTCTTAACATTCCTGGTGGGAACAGGTCCTGATGACAGCTATTGGTAAGTGCCCATAACTGCTATGGTAAGCTAAATTACTTGTGATTCGACCAATGCAAACCATTTCAACATACAATCACCATAGTGGGTACAATCAGTGCCTCTGTCAGACCAACCAGTAAAATCAAAATTGATGTGACTCACCTATGAAGCCTCATAGTAATTCACCAATCGATTATATTCCAACAAAAATGGTTGTTGTTATGTTGTCAAAGGTCCAGACGATTCAATACAGTAAAAACATTTAGTGCAAAACACATTATTCCATCAATAAATCTCCAGGGACTGCGGCCTCGTTTCATATTTGCTGGCAGACGTGGCTAGTGTGCCATTATACCTTTAACAAATCTGATTTGGATGTAAACAACTATGATATCTTGTATTCAAATTAGCCTCTGAACTCTAACCTTTCGAGTGACAGCTAATTTTGACCCAATAGGAGCTCATGTCCCGTACACAGCCTTCAATAGCCAACGAGAGCCCGTGGTATAAGGAAGGGCCAGCGTATCCCTTGTGGGTAGGCTGAGCCAATTGCAAGCAATTGTGCTGACGACTGGCACTTCGTGTAGCCAATAAAATTCTGAAAATAACGATATCCAGCTCTAAGCATGAAGTTCATGTTCTACCAGCAAAAAAACACATCTGTGTTAAGCTACGGCATGATGTAACAGCAGCCCCTTGCCGCCAAGGGGCATTGCTGTTTTTGAAAAAAATACGCTAAGACATACTCTTAGCTACTCCTTTGAGTTATATATCTTTTTTGTGCATGTAACAGGTTTGCAAAGTGAAAAAGCCCAAAGTCCAGCCCAAAGGGAGTTCCCACAGAAAGCTCTGCTCTGAACTGCTTGAAAACAGCTCGTTTATAGTCCAGCCCTTCACTTCCTTTACTTGTGACATCAAAATGAAAACGCGTCATAAAGCTTGCCAAACGGCTAGTGGGGGTCAGGCACGCCCTCAAACCAAGCTAGTCTGAGCGGAGGCCCTTTGGCTCGACACGCCTTTGTTTGGTTTTCCATTGTAGACATGTTGTACCTGTACCTGCTTCTAGGTAGAGAGCACCCAGTAATTATACTGGGTGCTCTCTAGCACAATATAGGGGAGACAGGAATTGATGTTTGAGGCTACATCCACACTAATATAAACTTGTACTGAACATTAACAGAATGAAATAATAATAAATATGGTATTTGCTAGTAGAAATGATCTTGCCAACACCACTGCACTCAACTAGTCATTAGATGAGATAGCAGTGGAGCAGTCTAAAACCAAATTACTGGCTGTTAGATTAGATAATTTACTGTCTTTGTCTGACCAGAGAGATCATATTGTCTCTATGATGGGAAAGGGCATTACTGTACTAAGACTTATGTTATTTTAGTTTAATAACAGTTTGGGGTCAGGGAGTTCAACCCATTTGGGGTCTAGCTGACATCAAACAACAAGTTATATCACCATGTAGGATAACACACGCTGCACATTTCTGTGACAGTGAGTGACTATTTTGCAAATAAAAGCAATACATATTTCTTTATATATAGACCATAGATTTTTAATTAACAATTTAACAATGTTTTAGGGTCATATCTGTCACCTTCATCAGATGTGACCAATTGTTGCCACTTAAATAGTTTTTCAATGATGGGCTTCAGTTTAAAAACTATTTGATTTTGTAAATATTATTGTAATTTTACACATACATTAAGGTCAGTTGGACCTCTACCAATAAAAACAGCCTATCATAAAAAGTGTTCAGAGGAAAAGTAATTTGAACAGAGGGTGTTCAACATACAGTTGTGTCTAATTGATGGGTTTTGCAACAATGGAGTTCTAAGGCACACAGGAAAAAGTTATATACTTGTTAGTAGGATCAATTCATTGTTGGTTTTGGTCTTTTCATGGGGTTTATTGACGATACTTAGCCTAATCCTTTTAACTCAAACTTAAATATATTCCAACAATGATTTCTAAATGGAAAATAATACTACTGGAATCATTTGTCGGTAATCAGCAGGTACTTGATAGTTTGTGGTGTGAAAGATGTAGACTCTTAAAATTTCTGTCAGACGCATTTGTGATGAAAATATAAGGTACTTAATGAAAACTAATACTACACTCATTCTGGTTGTTTATTCCCTAATTTGCACATTAGTTAGCGTTGATGTCATCTAGTTCTAAATTCTGTAAACTGTGAATTTGTGGTGCATTTGCAGATTCTCACTCATTTGGTTATCTGAATGCTCAGTTATCCAGAGCCTCTGAGAAGACATAGTTCTTCACATGTTCACTGTGTTCAACAAACCTGTTTATTCAAATCTGTTCAAAACTTTAAACTTTAAACTAGTTTAATGTTTTGAACAATGCGCTTATCGCTACAAAGCAGAAGTAAGTTACTGTAAATGTAAAGGTGCACTGTTTATTATTTATGCTACATTGTATAATATTCTACCTGAACTGTAGTGTCGCATCATTCATTTGACCAAATCTTGTATACGTCTCGGGAGGTTCATTTTCACACCTGTGCGAATAGTCTTGGACTCTAACGTTCACTCATCACACGGCAGCTGCACAGGCTCCGTCAGCACAGGAAACAGAATTGATTAGTTTACGACTCTCAACTGTGGGTCTCTAGGTTTGAGTCGTTCATTTGTCACATGACAGCTCGGCTACAGGGCTGTGGTAAGCAGGCAGCACAGGAAACAATTGATTAGTTCACAACTCAACTGTGGGTATCTAGGTTTGAGTAGTCATTTGTCACGTGAGAAATTGGCTACTGTGGAGCAGGACTGAACTATTCGTTCACCCCTCACATGGGTCCTCCTCAGGTAACAGTCACTGGACTGTATATATATATATATATATATATATAAAATTTTGTTAATTATGTGACATTTCATAAAGTATAACATTATTACAGGGCAGTGTTGTGCTATAGTTTTAACACAGCCATACCGTAACTTTAGTCCTATCAGTGTTTACAGCTAACAGCTGATGAGAGTTGTTCTGGGTCCGCTCCACTTTAGTGCCCTGACAGGGTTCTACTGGGAGTCGAATTACCTCCAAGGTAGTCTTCTTTCCAAAACAAACGGACCCGGTCATTAAAACAGTAAAACACAGCCACATAGCAACGTTAACGTTAGCCCTGTGGTGTGTTTACAGCTAACAGCTGACCTGGTCCGCTACGTAAGGTAACTTTTACTTTTTATTTATCGACAGAAGCGTGCTGTTGTTTCACAGCTCTTGACTGGTGAACAAACTGGCAGTGTTTGAGAGTGATGTGCTCATGTGTGTTTCTCTCTGTCTCTCTGAATCCGGACCTGATGTGTCCCATTCTGCGTCCAGACCTGCCAAACTGCTGCGTTTATATTATCAAAATTTATTTATAGAGCACTTTAACAGCAATCACAAAGTTGCACAAAGTGCTGTACAGAGATTAAAAAAAGCAAATCAATTTACAGGTTATCACAAACATAATGTATACAGTTAAAACACTAACAAATGTGTTCCTCCAAGTGTCATCCTCAAAGGTCAAAAGCCAGATGGAAGAAATGAGTTTTAAGACAAGTTTTAAAGTCAGACAGTGAGGAAGCCTTTCTGATGGTAAGAGGAAGGGCATTCCACAATTTCGGCGCTGCCACCGCAAAAGCATGGTCCCCTTTAAGTTTGCCATATTGTGTGTTAATATTTCTTTGTTCTTTTAAGAACTTGATGGTTTTATCCAGATTATTAGATTGGTTGAATTTTGATAAGAGTGTTTATTCATATAGTGTCAAGCTTATTACTTCAATATATTCCCCGCAAATCTGATGTTAATAGGTTTTACTCATGATAGGGCCATTAGGCTACTGTATGAATGAGCACTTTAGAGATATAGGCTAATGATAGTAATTATAATTATATACATACATATGTCAGGTCTGGTTGTATACTCAGGAAAGATTGTGAAAATGGACAGATTTAGCTGGAGTAGTGGCAATTGAATATTGACAACATATTTCTGTGTTTTTTACATGGTTTAAAATTTGGTTGTGGCCCCATGGGGCTTTATAGAACGATGACAGAGAATGATCAAGACATGAATTTGTGCATTATACTTTGTCAATTAAAGCAAACCAGGCAGCCTTCTGTGTTTGAGAACTGCACTGTTTTTTTACATCTTCCACAAAGGGCTGCAGCGCCGCAATAACCAGCCTAGTTCAAATTAATGAAATTACAAAAATAAATTAGTTCATTTTAATGAACGAGATTTGAAGAATCTCTACTAACTTATACAATGTTGAAAACTGATATTATATTAGCACTTTCTAAAAATCAGTCTTATTTTTACAGGTTTCAGGAAATAATTGAGAGGACAGGGATAAATCACCTTTTCATGGCTGAATTGGTAAGTAAAATATAGAAGATCTCCAGACTTTAGAGCAATATTTAAAAGTCAACTGTTTAGTTTCATGTAAAATTAGTCTACTATCAGCTACATTATCTTCCTGTTGTGACTGAAGTGTGATGTTGACAGGCCTGTACCACAGTGAGGCACTTCTGTCTCAGTCACATGAAAGAAGAGCCCCTGGAATAACCGAACAAAGAAAAGCAGCTATTACAGCTGTTGAGGAGGAAGGTCACATTGGAGGGCTTTCAGATTTTTGTCTCAGTCGTCCAACCAGCAGCAGAGGAGGATGAACAAATCTTTCTTCTTTGCACAGCAAGCTGCTAAGAATCTTTAGTGGCATTCAGATCACTCTCTGAAGGGCATGCAAAACTAGCATAGCTTTTGGAGCTTGAACAGAGTGTTCTGAAGTTCCATTAAGACAGTTTTACCTTTCACTCAGCAAGTCCATTCACCCAACAATTCATAGTCAGACACACTTAATTTTCACTGAAACGGCTGCATTTAACTACATTTTGACATTACCATACACTTAACAGTCTGAAAAAGCAGTCAAAAGCACTGCCCTCAACTCTGACAGCAGACTTGTCAATAATGTAGACTCACGGTGTTCCAGACTCTTTGCACAGTAAACGTCCCATAAGAAATCAATCCGCGAAATGCCTTACACACATATCAAAGTTTGATTGACACAGTTTGGGCGATTTTGAAAAAAACTGCTGAGAAACACAGTGTCTGGAATACAGTGAGGACTCACGGTGTTCCGGACGTCTGGAAATTTCAACTCAGTGTTATTTCAACTAAATTTTTTATTGGGTCCTCAAATATGGAATTAACATTTTAACATCAAGGGACAATGCGCCGCTGGCGCTCAAATTCATGTCGGACAAAGTGCCTCAGTAAATGTGTATGCCTTAAAATAGTCCAAATATTTGCCAATTGTAACTCATAACTATTTTAGGAGACGTTTTTGTAATTTTTCTGGTGGGTGTTCATGTTTAAAACCACATTCTTAGCGGAGGTATGACTCTCCCCTCTTCCTTTTGTCTGGCTGGAAAACCCTCCCCCACCATTTTCTGACCAGTCATTGGTGCACGCTGTAAACTCACGTTGATTTCTTTACTACTGGCTATGGAAAGAAGGGGTTGGTCGGAATTGAAAGGAGGAGACAAGAATTATGCAGATATATATAATGACCATGACCTGGAAGTATTTACAAATTAGCATGAAAAGGTCAAATGTTCGGAATACCGTGATGTCTGAAATACAGTGAGTCTACATTACCAGACAAAAGACAAGAGGCAGACAACATAATAATGAGCTAATTCATTCAAATTGCTGGAGACAACACTGATTCAGCGCCGTCAGATATTGTTGAGGATGGAGTGTCAGTGGAACAGTTTCTGAAAAACAAGGAACTGAGAGTGCCACTGTCTAGTACCGCAAATTGTGTTGAATCAGATTTACTTTACTTATGTTGCGTATGGCATCAATGGTATAGTGATCGGGTTTAAGTATGTGCGTGGAGTACGTACACCTGTGCACTGTATGTACCTGACAAAACTTATACGGATGAAGCAACACCATCTCTTGAAAAAGCACATTGTGCTGAGACGGTGCTTGGAGTATACACACCTTTCACAACAGCACATGTTGGGTAGTGCCGATGGGGCTATTTCATCGATCTTTCTGTCCTCCCGAAAAACTTTGAGTCCAAATGCCATCTATGCTTTGATCCACTGGTAGCCCCCATCAAAGCCGCCAAGATGATCAACATGGTGATTGAAATTTTGAATGGGAAACTGTGGAAGCTCAATGAATCAGACATGGTGAGGTCAAGCATACAAAAGAACAGCTTGTCTGACCTGTCCTGTTTCAAGCTCCTCATACAGGACCAGCTTTTCTTTTTTGGTGTAGTGGATGAGTGCCTTGTTGAATTGTACAGCAATGACCCTGAAGTCTGTGTCAAGGTGACACTAACCAAGTCTAGCCAGAAGGATGGGACTTCTGTTGAACTTGCAGAACTGGTCAGCATCAGGGAAGTTGGGAAAATGGTAAGATGGTTCACGGGCATCCGCAAACTTTAAAAGGTTTTGGCCCATTGTGAGTGGCTTGCCATACAAATTGCTCTGGTAATTTGCACACTCAAACAGCTGACCAATCCAATTATCATGAGGTCTGTCCTGGACCAAAAGTTGAAGGGCCTGGCCATCACAGACCTGGGACCACCAAAAGGAAATGGCGTGGTGGCAACAATGCCATTCCAGGCTGGTGATGTAGTCCTTTGACTACCATGGGGAGCTGGTCACAGAGGAAGAGGGAAGGCAAAGGCAAGTACCAGATGGTACTGAAATGTAGTTTTTCTACTTCAAAAGCCACAATGGTGCAAGGATGTGCCTGGACACGCAAAAATTCCCTGCTTCTGCCACCCACATTGACACTTTGGGCAGGAGGATGAACTCCAATGTTAAGCGGTGTCCTTCATGTTGCCTTTTTCTGGGGGACTCAAGGATAATATGCTCTTTGTTGCCATTAGAAATGTGAAGGTAAATGAGAAGCGCAAGTAAGACTATGGCATGAGACAGTCATCTTTTGGAGGCCGAAATCTGGAGTGGCTGAACGAGTAGTACATAGAACAGAAATATGTAAAAAAAATAAAAAGAACTTGCCTGTATAAATATAGACTTGTTAATAACACACCCACCATTGTGTCCCTGAGCAAGATACTTAACCCCTAGTTGCTCCAGAGATGTAAGACCTGACATATATAGCAATTGTAAGTCGCTTTGGATAAAAGCATCAGATAAATTGTAAATTTAGTTACTTTTTTTAGTCTACTTTGAGTTTGTTACTTTTTGCGTTGCCAAAATGCTGGATGGTTGTGGTGCTTTCAGAAAGAACTTATCAAGGGGGAGACAAACCTAGGCTGTGTTAGGTGAGGGATTCCCCACAAGGTAAACGCAAACATTACCGCAGTCAAGTACATCACGCACGTGCGTGTACATCATGCACGAGCACGCAGCCGGGGTCTGCTGTGCTAATACTAATACTCCTGAAGTTCGCTGACGACAACAGTTATCAGCCTCATCAGGGGCAGTGATGAGTCGGCCTACAAATGGGAAGTTGATCAGCTCGCTCTCTGGTGCGGCCAGAACAACCTAGAGCTCAACACGCTCAAAACTGTTGGTGTTAAAGACGAGCCACCCCACTCTGCCCCCCCCATCACCATCCTAAACAGCCCTGAGTCTGCTGTGGAATCCTTCAGGGTTCTGGGATCCACTATATCCCAGGACCTAAACTGGGAGCCCAACACTGACCAAGAAGGCCCAGCAGAGGATGTATTTCCTGCGCCAGCTCAGGCAGCTCAACCTGCCTAAGGACCTGCTGATCCACTTTTACACAGCCATCATCCAGTCTGTCCTCTGCACATTCATCACTGTCTAGTTTGGATTTGCTACCAAAAAGGACAGGAGCAGACTACAACGGACAGTCAGGACTGCAGGAAAAAATATTTTAAAAAAAACAAAACACCCCATCGGTGCCAACCTGCCATTCAGGACTTATACATTTCCAGAGTCAGGAAACGGGCAGGAAACATCATTACAGATCCATCTCACCCCGGACACAACCTGTTCCAGCTTCTCCCCTCTGGTAGGCGCTACAGAGCACTGTATGCCAAAACCAACAGAGTCAGGAACCGTTTCCTCCCACAAGCCATCACTGTGATGAACAGCTGACTCTGGAACAATTCCTGTGCAATAACCCAGTAACTCTGCCTCTAATCAGCCACCTGTTTACTCACTCCCACCTATTATTTATTCATCATTCTCTCATTCTCTATTTCAGAGCTGTTCAAACTGTTCATATTGTATACTGTATACCAAATCCACCTACCAAGTACATAATACTTATTTATTCCAGCATCCTTTGCACTATGCTCCATCACACTGTGTACGTGTGTACATGTAAGTGTATGTGCACCCGTATATCTCATCTACCTCCAACATGTACATAATAATAATGGTAATAATTTACTCCTGCATCCTCCTCTGCTAACACTATTGTCTCTGTCTATACTGTTTCATATATATATATATATATATATATATATATATATATATATATATATATATATATATATATATATATATATATATATATATAAGATGCACATACATTGTAAAATTGATTTAAATCGTGTGATTGTCATAATTGGTCAACATATTTTGAAACTTTGGGGGCTAAATCCTTTCAAAGGGCTAGTGAAAGTTGATAATAAATCTGTTTTTAGCAAATTATAAAAAGAAAATTAAGAATCGTCCTGCTGACCATTTACTTCCTAATTTCAATTTATTTATCATGCTTGAGGAATATTTAATGATGTTGGAGTGTGACTGTTGCTCCATAGTATCTAAGAGGGGGACATGTGTCGTTATGTAGCATGGACCTTTTTTTCCTGTAGTCCTAATGCAAGCATGATACACAATACTATACATTCCTGATGAAAACTCATCAGGACATCAATTTATTTGGGTAGCCCTTTATCTTACATTCTAAAGCTTAATACTATTTAGGAAATCTACTATTGCTGAGCCTTTAAGTTTTGTTACAAAAGCATATTATCAAATCATGTGTCAACAGACTGCTTAGTTGAGATTACATTTTTCTCATAAGTATTATTGTTTTTGCTGTCATTTTTTGTTTGTCATACATGCTATAGTTTGAATGTCAAAGTATCCTTATTAGAAAAAGGATAACTCATTATCTGTTGTCTGACCTCATTATATTCATAAATGACTTTAAAATGAACGCCCTAAAGATATCCAAATAGCCTTAACAGAGTGTAGTGGATATGTGATTCAAAACCAGTCTGAGATTCAGTTATTAAGAGCAAATACAAAGTAACTATTTAAAATGCATACATTACCATTCCACACAGGTCATAAAAATGACCATCCCACACAGAAGAATATGAATTCCCCTAAGAGAAAATTTAAATAAGTGCACTAGTGTAATAAGATATTTTATACATTTGAAACCTAGATCAAGTAATTTTTTATTTTTTTATATGTTTAAACTTTATTTTAATTTAAAGTGATTAATGTTTGGATCACGGTGAAATGTTTACACATCGCTCACGATTAAAGTTAAATTATCCATTTTTGAAAGAAACAAAGAAAGTCTTTGAAGGTAAAAAAAACACTCATTAGGTGAGAATGAGCACAGACAGTTCCACTGCATAACAATGGAGGTCCCCTCTTGGATAGGTAGCTATTGTTTAAGGATCTAAGTCCCCTCTTGGCAATTTCTTTAAAAAGCAAAAAAAAAAAAAAAAAAGCACATTTGCAGTAATTTTATGTTAAGACAGTAAAAGTAAATTTTGTATTATATTTATTTTACTTCAAAAGGACTAGAAACACAGGCCCACACTGTTGGATAGGTGTGTGGGCGCGTGTCACATTGAACATTAAGTCGCGGCAGTTGTGTGTGGCGTCGCTATGACGACAAGCTACGTACTATCTCTGGGTACTATCTGCAATGGAAAACGGTGCAGGGCCAACTAGAGTCAAGTCTATCGATTTGCACTATGGTAGCATTTTTCGGCAAGGCAGCATAGATTGTCAGAACACCGGTAACAGTTCAACGTTTAGTCCTAAAAGACGATGCAACTCCGGCTCTGTTTGGGCCTGGAAATTTACAATCACAACCTGTAAGTATGTTTTTTATTGGTTGTGAATTATATTTAAAATAAACACGGCAATGTAACTTCACAGACTGTTCAAGTGTGGAGTTGTTGTAAACGTTTGCTAACAAAGCTACTGAGCAAACGTTCAAATTGTTTGGCCAATTTTTATGTAAAATTGAGTTGAAATATGGTGATTTTTGTAGTGGTTTATGGTAAGATGTGGAACAACGATGTGTGGTTGTGGACTTGTGAGTAACTTATACCATCTGCTAGGTTACGGTCGCAGTCTGAAGCGGCTTTGATTTGGATCACACTACCTTGTTTCTTACAACCCGCTCTTCTCTGCTTCTGATTGGCTAGTAGTCCTTACCTGGGAACTGCGCATGTGCAACTCCCAAGAAAGATTTTGTACAAGTAAGATGCATCACTCTGTGGCTCAAGAGCGAAGCGTACAACACAGGGTGAAAAGAGGAGATACAGCAATGTGCAGTATGAGAAAAATATGGTGTTTTTTGTAATTTGTGTGTTTTTATGTAAACCTGTTCTGTTACAACCCCCTAATTAAGATTTGGCACCTGAAAATGAGCATAATACCGCCTCTTTGAGAGAAATTAATGGCTCTTTGGTGGGGTAGAGAGTCAAGACTGAAGAGGGTCTTTGATGTCTGAGGTAATCTGAAAGAGGAACTTCGTTACCATGGTTACCCTGCCCTCTTGGTCTTGAGTGTTTAGAGTTTGTTTAGTTTATGGCTGCGGAGGTCCTCACAGCCTGGTTCACGTTGAGGTTAATTTCTGGACAAGGTTAATATTGTCATTGTAATAGTCACACATAAGGTCTGTTATCTCAACTTAACTGGAGGTGGTAGGTTTATGGCTGAAACTGCCCACACAGCACTTGGGAGTGGACTAAACATTTCACCCTTCCTTTGGGGTACTTCAGCTGTCTGTTGAGGGTTGATATATAATCAAACCAACACTGGCTTGTTCACTACAGAAATTTTAAAGCCAAAGCTTATAATAAATGGCATAGCAGCTGCCGGGGTGATCGACATGTTTGTTGTCCTCTCACATGTGACCGTGTGCAGCAGATACGTATGTTACGTAGATAGGTTATAGGTAACGCAGGGAGGGGAATAATAGCCAACTCATAAGACGTTTCCTTAAAATAAACATTCACCAGTCCCGCAACTTGAGTCCCAGTCAAGTCTGAAGTCTTTTGAGGACGAGTTTCAAGTCATGTCTGAAGCCACTGTGCGCGCAACTTAAGTGCGACTCAAGTCCGAGTCTCAAACTCGAATCCCCATCTCTGCTACACGGTTGCTGCGCTCTCAGGGGCCAGGACTTGACTGTACCTAAGGTTAGGAAGAAAACGGTTGGTGAGTGAACCTTTTCATTTCGCGCTCCAACATTATCCTTCCAGCAGATATTAGACCAGCATGTTCAATTGAGGTTTTTAAATCAAAGCTACTTATTCACTGCTGCGTATGAGTCCTAAATATTTGTTTGTTTATCTCTGATGTCTTTGTATAAGTGGTATTTTCTTTTAATGTTTCATTTTAAATTTTTATTGTACTGTTTATATTTTAAAGCATTCTTTTTTGTAAAGCACTTTGATCACCACATACAAAAAATACTCAACTATTTTACACACTTAAAATCTTCAGAAAAGTAGTTGACAATGCTCACTGCATTATGTGAAAGAAATCTGACTCAAAGATTTGTGACCCATTATGATGGAAATGTATACTTTTTAAACCAGTATTATGTAAGCAGAATGAAGAGTAGAAGAGAAGGCAAAATGCAAACTTCAACAGCAGAATAGCGACATAGCGAAGAAAAAGAAGTGTAGGGAAAACAGAAAAGAGAAACAGTAAGAGGGAAACAGCACACCTTAATTTCCTCATTGATTAACCCCGCTAATGTGCTAATCTAGCCTGGTACGCTTTCTCTCTGCAACACCAGCCTCATCAAGAGGCAATTAGCTCCTCCGCAGCCCATGGCCATCCATCATAACGGGACAGACACTCTCATCTTTTCTCCTTAATTTTGCAACACACAACAGCCCCCTGCAGTCAATACACTTCCCCATGCGGAACTACTACAGAATAGTGTCCTTCCAACAATCGATGGAACGAGGCTATGGGAATTGGTATGAGGTGAATGAAGCTCACATGGTTATTCATAAGCAGACAGAAAGAGATATGTATGGTTCTCCTTTTTAAAAAGCCAAACAAATTCTTTTGTTAAAACTTCCATAATAAGTGTGCAAGACTTTCAATGAAAATGCCATTAGTCTAGTATCATTATTCAGGACCCTTTCCCCCCATCTTTTTCCACTTACATTTTTGTTGCGCTAATAGTCAAAACCCAAATCTCTAAATTCGTTGTTCAAACCCCACATGTGCTTGCACTTGCATTTATATTTGTACCAAGTTTCAGGGAAATATGGCCATCTTGTGTTTTGCCCAATGAAATAATGTGCAGTAAAAGAATTCATTTTATTTCAGGAGCTTCAGTGAACTTGCGGCACCGGGTTAGGAGCAACGACAATCAAGCAGGGGTGACTGGAGAACCGGGGTAGAAGTACTGTCGGAGATGAGGCTGATTGCTGGCAGGTGTGGCAGGCAGGAGGTGGCTGACAAGGTGCAGGTGCTGGCTGGGCTCAGGAGCAGAGGGAGAGCACACGCAGGGGAGGAGACACGGGGAGGCAGGCAGAGTACAGGAAAACACAACACCAGGGGTAAACAGAATCACAAGCAAAAAAGGAGGAATACACAGGACACTCACCATCAGCCGGGCTGTCACCACAACAGTGAGGGCTTAAATACTAGTGATGTGCGATACCACTTAATTCCTATACAATCCAATACCAAGTAATACCCAGGCTGATATTGCCAATACCGATACCACTACTTTTTACATATTTTATTTCTAGTTTACTGTGACCTCCCCCCTCCCGTTTCTGTATTTATCAGAGAAATAAGGAGTAGGCTGTAGCCTTACCAATTTAAAATAATAGCTGCATAATGACAAGACATCAATCTGTCATTCTTTAATTATAATAAAAATATCCTGCTCAGAACTGCCGCTTCATAACATCATCCTATTATTGTGACAGACTTAATCTCAGATGTTTAGCGAAGTTTGCGGTGTTGCCAAAGTATTTCACTGTCTTTGCACACACATCACACAGAGCAACATTATTACCTTCAAAGCTAGCCAGATGTGACTGTTTTTACAGTCGGCCAGAGTCAGTATTCAATCGTGAGAAATGTAAAGGGCTGCAGCGGCTCACTTCAAAGAAGCTTAGTCACAGAGCCGTAGCACAAGCATGACTTTGGAAAAGTAGTTCCTATCAGCTGAGTATAATTAGACCATCCTGATGACAGTAAGATACTTATGATAAAACCCACACTCACTCCAAATGATTGAGTTTAGATATCGATCCTTTTATATGAGTATCGATCCTAGAGCAGGAAACGTTGGTATCAGAAATATCGATACTTTATGATCGATCCTGTTGTGAACATACAGTGTGGATTTGTGCATTTTATATCAAATAATTTGGATACTCCAAATTCTTTCTCTCTCCCTGGGAGAAAGAAAAGGAGGGAGTTTTGAGATAGCAACCCTCAACAGACAGCTGAAGCGACCCAAAGGAAGAGGAGACAGGATGCTTTCCCTAAGTGCTTTTTTCTGGGCAGTTCGATCATAAAACTTGCCACCTGCAGCCAGATAACGCTTGGTGGCTGACTGTTAAAATGACAAAGAAATACTAACCAGAGATTAGCTTCTCCTGAACAGCCTATCGGAATCCTTTTTGGAAAGGGGACATGAAACCCTAAACTACCCCCCACACACGTAACCATGGCTGATGACCTTCCTCTTTGTTTAATTATCGCACATCAAAGGATATTCTCCTTTCACACCCCGTTGTAAATTCATGAGGAACTCCAGGACACCCGAAAGACTGCCCTGAACTCTTTGTGTAAACAAAGAGTACTGTCTCCTCAAAACTCAAAGCATTACCTGTTTAATTAAATCTTTTAGTTACTTGACAAGGTCTCTCTACTCCATTTGAGTAGTTATGTTACCATGCTGGTGAAAAGAATCTAAATAAGTTAATTTTGCAGTGTTTTAATTTTCAGCAAGGATCCCTGACCTTTATTCATTTTATGTTGTAACCAATGCTTTGTTCACAACACTTTCTGACACTTGTCTGACACTTTCTGACAAATGTCATCCTATACCCGATTGATTTTCCAGCTCGAATTTAATAATAAAATAACTAAATTGACTAAATAACTAAAGCTCATGAGCACAAGATTGTTTTGAGTTTAGACCCCACAGCTTGTCAGCCGGTTACATGAAGCTCCCCCAAGTGGACAAAATAAGTATTACATGCCATCGTCTGAAATGCCATTTAATGTATAAATGTCACTCTGTATTTATCTTGGCCATAAACTAATGCCATTCGTGTATCTTGCTTATATTCTCTAAGAACGTGTAACAGCCAATATATCCAGAAAGCTAGTTAAGTTCCTCTCATCTGATGCGATTCCTATGAAATGCTGACCTCAAAGTTTTAACTAACAATTGTTTTCCCTTTTATCATAAGCTTAAAACTAAGAACGGTATACCCGTTTGACAATTAAGGTTTGATTGTAGGAAGATATTTGATTACAATACGCGCAAATAGATTTTTGATTAGACGTATTAAAAGTTAAAGAAAAGACTCTCTCTCTCAGGAAACCGAAGACCAGCTAGTGTGGGGACCCGTGCAACAGACAAAAGCAGCGACCCATGCTGTCTCGCTCTCTTGTTCGCTCTTGTCTGGCTCTCTCCAACTGCGCCCAGCGTGCTCCCTCTCCCGGCAACGCCCTAAGAAGTTCGACCCTTGGTTTGTTTTCAAGCCACACACGCGAAGCGCCGCAACCTCGATTTTTCCCTTGTTTCCAGCAACTTTACTTGCTTTTTCTTTTCTTTTTGTTGCTAGAAGTTATCAGACCGTAAAGTTACACTAGTTTAATTCAAGAACAACCAAGTTCTTTTTAAGCTTTATTCCTCGAGCTAATCCCGACACATAAAGGACCAGACACGTGGGCCCGCCAGCAGTAACAAAGGACATCCAAACAGAACAGCCTAATTGCCAGACCGAGGACGGTCAACACTTTTTTTCTTCATCCAGACACGGAGAACCCCCGGAAGATTCCCTAGCAGAAAGACATGAATTGGGCAGCTAGTGTAGGGACCCGTGCAACAGGCCAAGGCAGGCTGACGACCCACAGTAAGGCAAAACAAGGCATTCTGTGATCAGTGATGTCCAATAGTCTGTTAATCCATTATCTTTAACTCTTAAAACTCATAGCTTGCGTTCATTAGCTGCCTGTATGACTCAAAATTCTCCCCACAATAGAACTCCACATTCTCATTGGTTAGCCATTGTTTATTTCTTTGATGTATATGTAACCACATTTATATTCACCTTAGTTAGTTAATAAATTTCACTGTAGTCAAAGGAATGGTGTGTGTGTTGCCTAACTCCAAGTCCCTGTCATGAGAATTTACCCCTTCGATATGAGACTGACTGATTGATTTAAGATAATTGAGCGATTGTTAACTAACCGATCACTAGTGAATAATTGTATAATTATTAACCATACCCAGGGAATCCTGAGACCCTGGGCGAATGGAATCTCGGGTGGTGCCCCGCGAGAGACTTATGAATAAATATTCTCTGAATATTAAATTCATAATTTTTTATTAATTCTCATAAATGTATTAGATCAAAAGTAGTCATGCTACAATCCGCACATCACTGTTCAATACGCAGGCAAACAAGCAGGGAGGGAGTGCACAGGTGAACGACACGAGGGACTAATTAGGCACAGCAGACCCACAGACGGGCAGAGTGAAACACGAAGGCAGGACAGCCCATGAAGCCAAAATGGAAAAGATCAAACAGATCAACAGACCAAAATGACCATAAACACAAGCAGACACAGATCCATAAAGAAAGTAGAAAAACACAGGCAGAGGTTACAAACTATAATCTATCAGACAAGATTAAAATAAACTAACCGAACAGGAACAAAGCTAGACACGAAGCAAGACACTGACAATAACAAAATAAAACTGGAAGTAAAGCACACAGGAACACACAAGGAGAGAGTTACCAAAGTAAAACATAAAACATGACAGAATTGCATAACATAACAAAACCAGGGCATGATAAAACTTACAGAAACACAGAATCTAAACCAGAAAACCATAATCATGATAACAAGCCAAAGCAAGATTAAAACAGGAAGAACACAGAACACAAAACCAAACCCATGAAAACAGACAGAACACAAACCAAAATCTTAACACCCTCAGGTTGTGTGCAATGTAGAGAGTAACACGAACCCTCCCCGTTCGGTTGGTGCGAGTACTCACTTACCTGTGTGTAGGACAGCTGAAGGAGGGGAAACCCTGGATAGTGGCTGTTGGTCAATAGAGGGGTGCACATCCCACTACTCGCCACATCGTAGACCTTCATTGAATGATAAGGTAAATATTATATAGTTAGTGAGTACAATGGATAATCTACAATAATAATATATATTACAAATATTCTAAGTTGTCTAAGGTACTGATCGGAAATGTGTTTACGGCCTAGGGCGCTGGACTCAGTGGCTGTCGCTATAAGTTCAACATGTGCAGTGCGCTTCAATACAAGAGATAGGAGCTTACTCGGCTGCACGAACCTTCATCCCAAAAGCATTTATTTGAATGCTGCTGATTTACACACCACCAACCACGAGGTCGCAGCAGAGTGCGAGTGGCTCGTGGTGTATATTACAATAACATGCACAAGAATGAGTTGTTGGGTATAGCCAGAGACATTTTAAGAGGACACTTTAAGAATCCTCAGTTCAACTCTATAGGGAAAGCTTGTAATGCCAAAGATGGCGCTTATCCCACCCCTTCTGCTAGAAAGCCAATCGTCTGCTTTTACCAGTGGAGGCACGAAACATTAAGCCAATCGTGTGGCTCCACTGATGTAAGGGCGTTGTAGAAGTATAACGGGTGGGGAAATAGGCTTTTAAACCTTATTTTTGGGCAAAGTCATCAAACTTTTTTAGCAATTTATCAGATTTTACTGCTGATTCTGTACATGTAGTTTTTATTTCCCAGTGGTCAGTGAAAGTGCAGTTATGGCTCTCTACACATTCATTCAGATGGAGACCTGGTATTGTTAGTCTGAAATAACTGCCCAGAGGTGTTACCAAGATTGCTGCTGAGTGGCAGGACTTGCCTATAACTTTAAGGACTTTAGCATAGTGTCATTGGAAAAATTGGAAAAATCTGTTAAGTCCAGTGGCAGCTCCTGCCAGATCTCTCAGGGAGGCAACTGTTGGAATGATGGCTAAGATGACCAGTTCCATGATCTAAGTCAGCTATAAGACACAGATTGTTTCTTAGGCTACATACTGTACAGTATTTGTGAACAGCTACATCCTGAAGTTCATTGTCAATGTCTACAATGAATGAACAGTTCACCCTAGAAAACCTTTGGATGTAAAAGCAACTACTTTAGCAGTAATGAAAAAAAAGAATAATTCTCACAATCATCTGATTTAGCTGAGACAAACCTTTTACTTAGGTAGCCTACAACAAATCCAAAATGAAGCGCATTGGCACTGGGCTGATAATGTACAATTAATAAAATTATCTACAGTTAATCTTGCATTGCAGCTAAGGGACCCGTCTCAAGTAATAGGCTACAGTAATGTAATAATCTCACATATACTGTATATGAAGGTGAATCAAACATAGCTGTTCTTAAATGTTTAATGAGTTACAGAGGAGCCTAGTATATTTTCATTCTTTACACACATTACACTAGACTAATAAGGTAAGCAGAGTTGTAAAAAAATCTTGAATGTTATCCACATGTTATC